AAAATTTTGTGCTCGTCGGATTTGTGTCACCTATTCCACGGTAAGTCGGCAGACTGTGACTGAAATTTTATCCGTAATATTTTCATTTTTTTTTTTTTTTTTATTCATTTGTCTTTTATTATTTTCTACATCGTTTATTTAATTCCCTTTAGTCGTGTTTAAAAATTACTTTTGAACTCGTTCTCGCCAATCGTACAATATTTTTTAAAAGTTTTTTCTACGTTTCAAAGGAACTAAACAAATTACAATTTTGTTATTCTCTAATTATTGTGCCGTAAACCTTATAACGTAGACAATTTTCTGAGCCAAGTGCGTATTTCAAACCTGCGCTTTTTATGCGGATAACAATCGTAGGTGATCAATGATCATAGATCGCGAACTTGCGTGCTTAAATATTTCAATCTTTGGCTTACATAATTAGTATAGGTATCGCATTGGCCACTATTAAGATGAACATATTTATATTTGTTACTCATTATATTTATTTCATTTGAAAAGCATTGATTAACTCCAATGTAATTACTATCGAACTTTTATTCGATTGAAAACAAATACTATGGTTAACTAATAAAGTATATTAATCTGTTTATTTATAAAATTTATAAAATTTACCAAAACCTCATAATAATGTCTTGAGTTTTTTTTTCAAAACAAATATTTGTTAGAAAAATATTTTGATTTTTTTTTCTCAATTTTAAACATATAAAATATACCATACGTATATTATGTATTTGATTGTGTGTCGAAAATTTCCGCCAAAAGACCTTTACGTTTCCCAAAACTTACTACTTGATATCGGTGGAATGTGCGTACTTCTTATGTCCGAAATTATAAAAATAGGTAAAATGTTTCCAAACGAAAAATGTTTGTAAAATTATTTTTATTTTATTTTTGTCTTCTAAACCTTCTAATAAATTTTCCAAAGTTAACATTTAAAAAGAAAAACTTCTATTGATATGTAACTAAAAAATAAATTGAAAATTGTAGAGTTTTTCGAGATTTTGATGAATTTGGTTAAAACTCAAACTTTGTGTCTTTAATATTTTTGAACTCCATTAACAAAACATATTATAAAGAACCTTACATTGCATTTACTATAGTAAAAACATACTTATAAGTTACCAATACTATTTATTGATTTTTAACAAATTATGTCAATATCATATATCTATGTGGATATAGTAATATATTTATTAGCATCTAGTATGTTATAAGTTATAATTTTTAAATCTAAATGATAATAATAGAAAGTAGATACTCTTACTYTATATTCAATATTTTAACTACACGTATTTTGGACAAATATTTGATTTCATATTCAAGAATATATCATATTATTGTATCCTAGTATCTAATATAAAAACTGATAAATATTCGCCGACGTCTGCTCTCAGAATACCACTATGCTCCGATTATAATTTAAATAAGAACTCTTTTAACTTAATAGAAACCCAAAATCAAGTTTTCCTTCTAAAATTAAATTKATATTTTCAGGTAATGAGATAAGTTCAGATAATGCTCTTGCTTCTTAAATTAATTTTTTTTAATGTTTATTATTAATCATTTTACTTAACTTTGATTGTTTTATCATAGGATGCTTCAGTATCATAAATCATATAAAATATATTTAAAAAATATTAAGCATACGCTGTTTTGTTAAATACRAGTATTTTATATGAATTAAAATCAAATGATTATTAATATTTTTTAGAAAAACTAAAATATTGTAATTTATATTTTATTTTGAACTAAATAAAATCGTTAATAATTTGGTTTCTTTGAAGTTGTCATTAACCTAATAATTCCTAATATCTGATTTGTTTTAATATACGAATAAAAAAWARTGTTCTAAAATAATTTCTACAATTATTTGTGGTGTATATTTATTGTCATAATAAAATATAATAGTTAGATATTATGCAACATATATAAACTATTTATGAATATTATTTATAGCTTATAATATAGATTTAGTGGCTAATGGCGTGGTGTGGTTGCTATTCACGCAACGAGATTGAGTGTACGCATTGCCCACTTCCATTAGTTTTCGGATGGGTGACCACCCGGGTTCTTAGTAGCAAAAACCTTTTCAAACTTATATGTGTTCTCTAAGCCAACCGAACCCTCCTTSATAATTAAAAAAACCTACTAAAAATAACAWTCCGATTACCTATGTTGTCACAGACTAATTAAAAAAAAATATATATATAGATATGTAATAGCTATGATATTTAAAGTTTATATATGCCTAATATTAAAGTTAGATTATATTAATTAGTAATTACCTAATTAACTATTATATCCTATTTTTTAAGTACATTTTTTAAATCAGTATGTTATTAATATTAATTTAGTCATTCACTTAGGTAATGGTTGTAACTAATATAAAGGTACTTAATATATTATTATAGATAATGATACGGTATCACTGCATAAGTAATTAAAAATATTCAGACAAAGCTAGTTCAAAAGCTAGTAAAAGGAAAATTGTCTTGATTAAAAAAAAAAAAAAAACATAGTTAGATACTACATATAGTTACATTATTAACGGGATTCTATAGTTTGAGAAATTTTACTATAGTTTATAGAATAATATTTGAGGGGTCCATTTTCAAAGTGTAGAATACACATTTTTCATAAAAAATTAGACAGATGTTGAATMTTATATAATTTGAATCGCTGAATTTGAATGATACACTATTGTCGAGAAAAATGGTCAAACTTCAGTGTATTTTTAAGTTTGAAAATTACAACTAGTATTACAAAACGTACCTATACACTTTATTGAAAAGTATGTTTCATACAATAAATTTTTTTGAAAATTTAGTGAACATGGATATTGTAAACTTATTAATTAGACCCCTAATTTATTTATTGAATAGGTATTAATTTATAACATTAAATAATTTTTAAATCTAATTATTTCTGTCTTATCTATTTATTTATCCTTTGMCACCGATAATATTATTGTATTTAAAAAAAAAATCATGTTTTATATTCATTATTAAATAATTATAGATATTAGCTTATAAAATAATAACCAACATTGATGTAAGTACACATAATATGCTAGTGAAATCAATTTGGTTTGAAGCCATACTTTTTCTTTAAKCAACTTTGCATTTATAATCTTGGATTAATTAATTATTTTCGACCAAGTAGATGATGCATGTAATTATAAGATTTATTAGAAGTACCTATACATTTTACTGAATATCAAATTTAACTATGCATTATATAGGTTTATTTATTAATTATTATTATTCAGGTTTTTGCTATATCCTAAAATTTAAAAAAAGGTAAAGAAATTGTACATCAATTGTTATTAGAATGTAGGTGATTACAATAATATGATTTTTGATCTTGAAATCATTTTTTACAATTAATTCTAAAAAATATTGATTTGTTTATAATGTTTAATAATTAAAATTAGTTTTGAATTRTGAATTTAATAGTTATTTCGAGTTATTTCACTAAATAACTTAAATTAATAACATTTTGAAATTTTGATTGTCTATAATCTAAGATTTTTTAAATTAACTTTAAAATGTTCCTGGATGCTGCTAATTTTAAATTCTTTGAATTTTTAATTACATAGACTTATTATTTGAACTGTTGAACTTAGAAATACCTATGACAATATGCAATTATAGTTAGATTAGATYCAGCGTAATATACGTAATAATTATATTTAAAAAGGACTTTATATAAATTTGTGAATATACCATAAAACAAATTGTTAATGTCTTAAAAATCACCAAAAAGATGTTAAATATCATTAATGCTAATGATAATTACACAAATCAATCGAAATAGGGTGAGATATAAAAATAAAAATGATACACAATATACATTTCTATATCAAATATATCTATACGAGTTATTATGTGCGTATTGTAATACTATCTGTTGTAACTACTTAGTTAGTAGTTACACATATAAGTTTTATAAATTGCATTAGGAATATTACAGTTTGATGCGAAATTGTGTGAATTAATTAGTCAATTTTTTAAAACACCTAGATATTAAAAGCATAAGATTTGTTTATGATTAAAGCATAGGTAGTTATTATTTTWTRGTAAAATATGTAACATGTAATATATTGTATAGTACACAGCAGAATTATTAATACCTAAAAAAAAAAATAAATACATTTTTTAAATTGWTCCAATGAAATTGTATTCACAGAATATGTAATTATCTCGGCATAAATACTTGATATTTTGTACGCACTAAAAAACGTAATTAAGTTCATACTTGATGAATAAATAAATAATTAATATAATCGTACTTCGTAGGTACGAATTGTAGTGTTATTAATTTTTATAAACATATTATTTTACATTAAATCAATAATTTATAAATTATTATTGATACGAAAATTTTGATTTTTAATTTATTTTAATAATTTTATATAGACCAATACCTCAGATTATATCAAAAATCGAGGAATTTGAAACTACTATGATGAATTTAAACACTTCAGAGCCTCCAGAAAATGACAAAGTATTAGAAACGCAAAACGATGATGATCAAAGAAGAAAACCTATGTTCTTGTTTAGCGTGGATTACATATTAAATAAAGCTGGAAAGATGAATACCGAAAACGACACCGACCAGAAAAATAAACAGCATTTCGACTGGTTGTATTGTACACGGTTCAAGCCTCCAAAACTCGACAGTGAGTAACAATACACCTGTTCAATAATATAGCAGTACACGTCATAATGCATGATATAAAAAATACAGTAGCATTATGTCTATGTAAGCTGGTAGGTGTTATTGCAATTATCTTTAATTATTCAAACAAAACAAAACTGAGTTAGTATTAAATAAAAAATTAAATTAATTTTATCTAAAACAGCGTAAAAAAAGAAATTAGTTTTAGTAAGGATAATTTTTCCTATGACCCGGGGGCCGCGTAGCGAGGACCGCTAGTATAAATGGATTATATTGTTACTAAATGTTCAATATTTTTAAAGAGAACTACAAAATAAATAATTATATTTACAGAAAAATTGTTAATATTTAAATGGTGAACCAAAAACGATAAAAATTAT